CCTTGACCTCCTGATCAACTTTGCCGAAGAAATTATCCGTCCAAATAGTCAGGATCTTGAGATACAGCAGCGTAAACATATTCACTTCGAATGCTCACTAGCGCCGCCTAGCGAAGGAATTCCGAATTGCTCTGTCCATCATCCAACAGTCCTTGACCTCTTGATCAACTTTGCCCAAGAAATCACCCGTCTATATCATCGGTATCTTGAGATACAGCATTCAAATCATGCAAAATAGGAGATTTTAGGGCAAAACTGTGAAAAACCCCAACTTACCCTATCGTGCCCAAGATGAAACACACTCCAATCGATTTCTGAGACTTTTTTCTATAAGAATGACTATTTTTTAGTCCCTTGTTCTAGCGAGCACCGAAGTTATTGAATTTTAACACATTGTTTCGATTTTGTCCCCAGTGTGCGATGGATCCCACAGCAAAATGTTGGAAGCCTGGGAAGCAGAGTGGAGCCAATCCCAATCCTTCTTCCTCCGATGAATAAAGGAATGACGAGCAAGTTGTCGGATATGTCGAAACTACGGGACCAGAAGGTGGTTTCTCGTCTTAGGACAGGCCATACACATCCTATGCCTGTGTCCGCAATACCAACATCCACGGGAACAGTACGCACTTCCCAACAGCGTTAGGGACATACTGGGGGACGAACCTTTCACTTTAGCGACAGTTATTTATTTCCTCAAGGACGCTGGGTTATACAACAACATTTAGGTAATTTTAACTTTCTTTTGGCTAACGGGACATCTCTGCCAGACGGGGGATTACACACCTCCTACAGGGGAACTCCGATCTCTTTCAGAACCCTACATAGCTTTGATGCACCAGATTGTTTTTTTTTCTCATTGCCTGTATTGTTAGTCTTTTTACTGGAAGCTGTTTTAATTGCTTCTATTTGAGTACATAAGAATTGTAAGCCAACTCCGTAACAATTTTATAGAGATGAACTAGCCAACGACTAAAAATCTCTCTAATAAAGACAACAACAAAAATCGCGCAATTCCGTTACATTCCGTTAGCATTGAAAAATTAATCGTTGCCATTGGAAAAATAAATAAGCGCAACAGCATTAAAATACTCCGCGACATTCCGCGTAATTCCGATTTGAAGCGAAATAAACGGAATAACTCGATGTATCGCATACTCTTAGAATCTACAGAGAAGCCTTACAAGTTGGAAACATTCAGCGCAAAAATTGCCAACAGCTATTGATTCTTCGAGTCAAGCACATTACTGATTTTAGATATTCAGTAGCTTTTAAGCACTTAGATCATTTTTGGAGCCGAAATCATTCTGGAACATGGTTCGATCACAGGAAAATTATCGGTGTTTATAAAATAATATTATTTTTTTTTTTGTTAGACTCACCATTGCAGTTTGGCACTATGATTAAAATGTAGATGCAGCTGACCATGCATTCGTTAGCACTTACCAAGTTCAAAAGTTATTTCAGTGAATTATCAATGAAGTGTTGTTGTAAACCTGTAAAAAGAAAAGAAATAGAAGATATGGATCATTTTGACACTTATCAGATTGGTCATCTCTAAGGTATTTAATGGAAGATCAAATATAAATCAGGATTATTTTTTTCTACTAGAATCTAGTTTTGATTTTCAATTCTGACAAAAGTAGTCTCAAGTTTTCGATTAAAATTGTGATCAAATGCAACTCAAATGAGTCATTTTTCACTATGACCAAAGTGTTTGAAGCTTCATCTGAAGCGCTGAAAGTGGTAAAGAGATGACTTCAACAACCAAACCATTCGATCCAAAGTGGAAGAACCCAGCAGATTTCTGTACCAATTTTCTCAACTCTTCCCTTCGCAAGAAACACCGATAGCATTTGTTTTAAATAGCAATTTATTCATTGGTTGTACAATACATAGTATTCTTCATGTTGCTACCATACCAGGATCCTGATCGTTGTCCGTTTTTCGTTGTCCATTAGTGCATCTTAGCCGGATCGAGTATTTTTCACTGCTGCTGCTGCTGCTCAGTCTTTAGTTGAAGGGTGAAGTGGTCGAGGGGAGTCACCGCTTATTCCTCGAACTGGTCGAAAGCGTCGGATTCCGGAGCACGGTATCCGTGGTGAGCTGGAGCGTGTCCGTATCCGTGGTGTTCCTTAACTGGGACACATGGGACATGAGCAACACTGGGAGCGCATCCGACGAGCAGGTTGGCACCGCACTTGGCGTGGGGAGCGTGCACCGGGTAGGTGTGGACCACTGGAGCTGCATGGCCATGATGGTGGCCATAGTGAGCTGGAGCTGGAGCATGATGAGCTGGAGCCGGAGCGTGGTGGTAGGCTGGTTTCGGGTAGTCAGCCAGGGCACCGACGGCCAGAGCGATGAAAGCCAAGATGACGAGCTTGTTCATGATGATGGTTGGTTGAGTTGGTTGATTTCCTCGGTGGATGTTGCTTGGTACTGCACTGCAAGGCACGTTGAAGCTGACTGATGGTTGAACCCCTCGATGCCGGTACGTTTTATAATCGAATTTTGCTGATGGGAAAATTTGGCCGATCGCCGAAAAAGACGCATGCTCTTGCTTTTTAGCTGCGCCTTTACCGACAGAGCTAAGGGAGGCATTGACATTGCAAAAAATAAATAAGCGCAACAGCATTAAAATACTCCGCGAAATTCCGCGTCATTCCGATTCGAAGAAAAATAAACGGAATAACTCGATATATCGAATACCTTTAGAATCTACAGAGAAGCCTTACAAGTTGGAAACATTCAGCGCAGCACATTACGGATTTTACATATTCAGTAGTTTTCAAGCACTTAGAACATTTTTGGAGCCGAAATCATTCTGGAACATTGTTCGAACACAGGAAAATTATCAGTGTTTATAAAATAATAGTAACTTTTTTGTAAGATTCAACATATCAATCATTGCCGTTTGACGCTTATGTCGTTTTCGTTTTTGCGGTGTAGCTACACCGGTGCTATACTGACGTACACCGAAATATTTTAGGGTGTAGATATAGGATGCACCTTTGTTTACAAACAAATGGATGTTGAGCTGTCAAAGACACTACACCAGTGCTACACCGCAAAAACGAAAATGACATAAGATTAAAATGTAAATGCAGCTGACCATGCATACTAGACTGATGCAAAATTTGACATTTTCGCTCCACATTGCTCAAGCGGTTCCAAATCGAGTCTAGATTAGCCTCCCAGGGTTTGAACTTATTTGGTAAGAAACTGACTTGTCACGAACCATTAAATTTTGATGTTTATATGGGAACTACTATTAGGAAACCAAACTTTTTCTTCGGTTTCTTCTATCCTTCTTCCATATTGCACTGTTGAAAATTTCTATAGCTATTCTTGTGGAAAATTTTCTCAGCTACAACTTTGCGGAATATTGTTTTTCAGCCAAACATCAAATTAAATAGTTATTAATTGTTTAAGAGCTTGATAATCTTAAGGCATGATCAAGAAACTGTTTTGTGGGCAACACTGAATTCTGCAGTGTGACATAGTAGCCATGATGTTTTAGCTCTATTCTACGCGCCAGAAACACCAATGTTGCTTGCTGAGCAGTTAATTGAGCATAATCATAAGACAATAGTGACATGAATCATAAATATCTTTTAATCCTTACATTTTATCGAAAAATGGTCTTCGACAAAGTTGTAGCTCTGAAATTTACTACTAATATAATTATCAATTTTTAGAGCACACACTTAAAAAAAATCATGTAAATTGAGGTGCTCTGAGACTGACATATACGAGCATCAATTTTGACATAAAATTGAGTCATAACAGACGCGAAATTCAACTCAATAAAATTTAGTTTTCGTCGAGAAACAAACTTTTCAGTCTCGGAGCGCTTAATTTCACATGAAATATGTGTTTACGTCTGATCCTTTATGTCAAAGAAGTATTCCGTCATGTGTAAAATTAGTTATTTCTAAGTGTGTAGTTTAAGGCATTTCAGGATGGTATTGACGTCATTCATGTACAACAGAAACAGAAATGGCCCAAGATGGTCTTCGAGAGCGCCGGATGTCACGGGGAAGGATGAAGAAACATACACACACACTACGAAAAAGACATGTAAATTTCAGTGCCCTGAGACCGACACATGCAAGCGGCCCTTTTGACATAAGAATCAGTTGAAAAGGACCAGAAAATCAATTCAATAAAACGCACTTTTCGTCGAGTTGCATTCGTTTCAGTTTCAGGACACTTAGTTTTACATGCCATGATTGTTTACGTTGCATGATTTACGTCAAAGCTGAATTACTTCCCGAGTAAAAATAATAATTTCTAAGCGTGCAGAGTAATAGGGCGAATTATTAGATAATTATAAGCACAAAATTTGGTTTTCCCATAGTAATTTCCATATAAACTTCAAAAAGTTTTTGCCAAGTCGGTTTCTCACTAAATGAGTTCAAATTTTGGAAGCCTAATAAGGAACCAAATAGAAACCGTTTGAACACTGTGGAGCGAAAATTTCAAATCGGTCTAATGCATAAGTCAGCAATTACGAAGTTCAATAGTTATATCAGTGAATGATCAATTAAGTGTTGTTGTAAGCCTGTAAAAATAAAATGAAATAGGAGATAGCGATCATTTTTACACTTATCAGATTGGTCATCTCTAAGGTATTTAATGGAAGATCCAATAGAAATCAGGATTATTTTGTCTACTTGAATCTAGTTTTGATTTTCAATTCTTGCGGTATTCATTTCTGACGAAAATAGTCTCAAGTTGTCGATTAGAATTTTGATCAAATGCAACTCAAATGAGTAATTTTTCACTGTGACCAAAGTGTTTGAAGCTTCATCTGAAGCGCTGAAAGTAGTAAAAGGATGACTTCAACAACCAAACCATTCGATCCAAAGTGGAAGAACCCAGCAGACTTCTGAACCAATTTTCTCAACTCTTCCCTTCGCAAGAAACACCGATATCGTTTGTTTTAAATAGCAATTTATTCATTGGTTGTACAATACATAGTATTCTTCATGTTGCTACCATACCAGGATCCTGATCGTTGTCCGTTTTTCGTTGTCAATTAGTGCATCTTAGCCGGATCGAGTATTTTTCACTGCTACTGCTGCTGCTGCTCAGTCTTTAGTTGATGGGTGAAGTGGTCGAGGGGAGCCACCGCTTATTCCTCGAACTGGTCGAAAGCGTCGGATTCCGGAGCACGGTATCCGTGGTGAGCTGGAGCGTGTCCGTATCCGTGGTGTTCCTTAACTGGGACACATGGGACATGAGCAACACTGGGAGCGCATCCGACGAGCAGGTTGGCACCGCACTTGGCGTGGGGAGCGTGCACCGGGTAGGTGTGGACCACTGGAGCTGCATGGTGGTGGCCATAGTGAGCTGGAGCTGGAGCATGATGAGCTGGAGCCGGAGCGTGGTGGTAGGCTGGTTTCGGGTAGTCAGCCAGGGCACCGACGGCCAGAGCAATGAAAGCCAAGATGACGAACTTGTTCATGATGATAGTTGGTTGAGTTGGTTGATTTCCTCGGTGGATGTTGCTTGGTACTGCACTGCAAGGCACGTTGAAGCTGACTGATGATTGAACCCATCGATGCCGGTACGTTTTATAATCGAATTTTGCTGATGGGAAAATTTGGCCGATCGCCGAAAAAGACGCACTTTGGCCCCCCGTCGGTCGAGCGGGTAGCAAACGATCGAACGAGCCACGCGCCCGGCGCACAAAAAACGAAAACTTTGCACACGTTGCGAGTTTTTTGTTTTCCGAGCTTTTAGAGTCGTATGGGCCGTTTGGACTTCGTGTGGCAAAAAAAACTGATGGTGATGAGAGCCACCAATTACTTAGAGGAACTTTTAAAGTTAACTAGAGAAAGTCAAAATTCAAAATTTAAATCTAGATTCAAACTTTGCTTGCTTTCTACTGCTACTGTCATCCCCAACCGTAACCATCAATTAGCGTCACTAGAGAACCTGTTCAAATATTTACCATCGGCCTACGGAATAATTCCAAGCGACACAAACTGCTGCAGGAAATTTCCTTTGATGACGAAAATTGAAAATTATTGCCAAATTAACGTCTACTTAGCACCGATAAACAGTTAGTATTCAAATTATTCCCCAACATCGATTGTCTCCACCTCAAAATCAACTGCCTAGAAGCTCCCCCCAAACATATGCCACTCTCCCTCGGGAAAATCAGCCACTATGGCGAATGGGAAATTAAATTTTCCCCGCACCATTTAGCAAGAAACCAGAATCGAGAAGATCATTCCAACCACCCCCTCGCCGCTGTTTCGCTTGACACGTGTGCGGCACATAGCAGCAATTTAATCTCTAATTGAAAATGGGCTCACCAGTTCCATAAATTTCAATTCATCTGCCACCGCCGTCACGCCGGTTCGTTCCGGTGCCGGCGGGGAGAAAACAGCTTTAATCCCTCCCGCGCACCATAAGCAGAAGCTTTGCGTGCGAAAGGTGAAAGTTCACAAGTCCTGTAAGCAGCTGCCTTTGGAAAGTACTTATTAAGACAACATACCGAGTAAGCTCCGGTCTTCCGGATGTCCTTGGGGAGTTTGGCATTAAACTGCTACATTTCGGTTGCTGTCGGTTTGGATTGCAAAGGGGGCGGTGGGAATCATTTAAATCGGCTTGACTCATAATTAAATTTGGCATTAGTGTGTTTTGTTGGCAATTGTTTTTAATGGCTTCCGGTTTTGGCAGTTTTTCCAAAAAGTCGGTGGGATGAAGACAATTTAAGTACTGCGGCCGTCGCCAGCACCGTGGGATCGCCTTGCTTTGGGGGGGCTCCTTTTTCGGGAGGTGGCAACAACTTGCGACTGTTTATTGTATGCTGCTTCCCCGCTGATGCTACCTTTTGGTAGACTTTTATTCGTGGTGATAAATTTGGAAAGTTTGGTCGGAGGAAACGTTTGCTCTCTTTGTATTATTGTTTATGTTGCGGGTGGAAATTGGATTAAGGGACTTTTGGACCGGCGGTCTATTGTTTCAGTAGTTTGCTTCATGTTTGAGTTCAGGCTTTCAGAGCCTCCCAAAATGACTAAGCTTGTGAAGTGGAGCTGAAGGCGGTGTGGAATATATTAGGTTGACACATGACGTGGAATTCAACCATGTGACTAAACATGGCATGTAAACTGTTAAAGCTGCGTTTAAATTTGCAATTCATTTGATCATCATGGCACGGCAAATGGCAATTATCTTCACCCCCATATATTCCCATTTAAGTTCTCAAACCGCAATAAATTTTTTTGTTTTGCATATTCGCCCAGCATAAACCCAAAAAAATCTCACAAATATTATAAACTCCATCCCTGGGGCTCGATACATCATTCCTTCCGCAAGCATCCTGTCCACATCGCGCTGGAGCTTCACTACCGTCGCAGCAAAATCCGCAGCAGAAATGCTTAAATAAATTTGTTTTCTAAAATGAATTATTCCCATTCTCGCTCGTCCCCGCATTCAAGCAGAGAAACTCCAGCAGAGGCACCAGCCGGCACTCGGTAGATTTTTTTTCCCCGAGCTGGCCTGTGCAAACAAACTTCTCATGATCCTCCTACTCCTTCTGGTGGCTTCGCTGCCGCACTCTGGGGAGCCTTAACCAGGAAAAATGACAGCTGAACTCCGAGCGACAGATGATGAATGTCTGCCGTCTGCTGAGCGCACCGGGAAAGAGAGACAGACAGAGGGAGTGAAAATTTAAATCCGGAACGAGATTTCCGACCTGGGACTGAAGGAACTTTTCCACCATCACCAGTTTGTTGCACTTCTGCTCTCCGGCAGCAGGATTGCATTATTTAATATTTATCCAGCATAATAAAGTATTCATTTTCCATTGCAGTTTTTTCCCGAGACTGGAAGAGAGTATTTACGCTGTCCAGAAACAACAACAAATATTTGTCTTGATTTTTGCATCCTGCCGATTAAATAGAAGTATGATGCTCTCGATTCCGTATGAGGACGGAGGGAGAGTTGCAAAGTGACAGGTGCATATTTAATAATAGTAAATCTGAATTCCAGCTTTATTTGCCTTGAATCAATCAGACAGGGACCGTGGTTTGCACAGGTTGAATAGGGTGCCTGGGAAAATTCAAATTGGAAATTTGTATTGACATACATATATCGAAGCGCGGACAAGACCTCAGCCACGGATGATAGCGTGGACATTATGAATTTGAATTGGGGTCACTTTGCGAGCCAGGTTGGGAGTCCTCAGCGGTGGTCGCGATGAATGTTTGATCAACAATGATGTGATTTGCTTTTCACAGTCGGTGTCAGTTTCCAGGAAATTTGCAAATAGATGTATTAATTGTTTTTCTCTAGTGGTTTGATTTATGCACTAGCCGCTGAAATCTTTCCGGAAATGTGTTTTCAATAACTAAGTTGATAGATTAACTAATTGCAACATCGTTCACGCTGACTTGAAAGTACCCACTAATGAGTAAAAATTCACCAATTGTATAGAATAGTGACTTATCTCATTTAATGTTAAGCTACTCGGCTTTACTCATTAATGAGTATTCAGGAATGCTTTAAAAATAGGTGCTTTTGACCCTTCATGTTTGATGGACTGTAAAATGTCAACTTCATTATAATTACCAATATTTTAAATGGAGTGAGGAAGTAGAATGAAAACACCGGAAGCCTTGATGCATATAGTCGCTATATTCATAGTCTGGCGTATAGAATTTCGATCTATAAAAAAACGGAACCAATTCAATATATTTTAGACCAACAATTGAAAAGGTACTATCAACTTCTATAAACAAAACGTTGATTATTCTTTCCTTGCCAATCGAACGCAAATTACCGGCATCATCGGATAGGGGAAACTTTCCCCAACCCAAAGATGGTGTTATTTTGCGTAGGCGAGCCTTGAGTCACGAGAAAAGGGTTTCCGAAGTTTTGTTTGCAATAGCTGATGTGCTCTTTTCTGTTGTTGGTCGTGATTTGCTCGATTGGTGCCGCTATTTGACAGCTCAATTGGTTCCCGAGATTCTATCCGCCAGACTATGAATATAGCGACTATATTGATGCAGGTTTTACCCGCATCCCAAACTGGTAGCAGATATATGTCCAGCAGATGAAATGAACACACTTTCAGCCGAGTTTTCAGCTCAACAAATCAACACCACCATCGACTTCCATCGGAGCGGCGGGAGCAAGAACACCGGATGCGTTCGGGGATTCTTTTTCTTCGAGGACGGCCAGTATGATGATATGTACCCGCCACTGCCATTGTGCTGGACCACCATTCTGATGATACGGCTCAGCTCACTCACTCAATAATAATCGAGACACTATTCTCGACGGATCAGAGCACTCTATAAGGATAAAATCAACAACAACTGAAAATGACAGCTGCAGCATTGCATGTGATCCAAGTTCACGATCACGAAATCATGATTTTATTTTTTGTTTTCTGTAGCGTTATGAAATCGATGGTCAGCGTGACTTAAGTTCATGGGTTTGGGATTTAATTCATGAAAATGTTATTTACTTGATCACGTTTACGGTAACTAAGTCATGAATTCAAACGAACTAGCAGTTCATGCTTTCGTGCTTTGTTGTTCACGAATTCCGGAACGGTTTTTTTTTTGCGTGAAGATAACCTCTAATTGTCCTCAACATGTCACTGTATGAAGAGCCAAAAACGGGTTCGGTGGATCTGTAGGTAAATTCACCTATACGCCTCCATGGGATGGCAGAGAATATCCTTCCAGCCACATGATCATAAAATTGGTCATAAAACGAGCCGTCTGACAGAAGGACACCCCAATGAGTGTGAAGAAGATCCCGCCCATTCTCCACGAGATGTTAACAAGAGGGAGTTGACAATTTCACTCTCCCCATCCAAATCGCTTTAATTGAGTGCCCTGATGGTCCCTCACAACCCCAGTATTGTTTTGAATATATGAGCAATGATAAAAAAAAAAACGATCTCACGAACTTTCGCTGTTTCTTCACCTTTCTGTCCAATTTTCGTGCCTATTTGTGAACTTGTTGTCCTTCTCTGCATCACTGCTGGTTACTGGTCTCCCGAAAGTCTCCCATGTTATATTTGATGTGTTCTACGATATTTCGACGTCCATTATTTTTGTATAATGATCTTGAGGTCCTAGTTGCGTCTTATAAAACCATAAAACCAATGCGGAAAATGGACAGTGTCTTAACGAGCATCACTCCATTATCGTATCGCATGAGCTCCATTTTGCAGCTCTTCTTTCACTTTTTCTTTGTTGACTCCATAGTACCGAAAAAGATACACATCCATTATTAGTAATGCTGTGATATAACCACAACGGGATGGCCATTCAGAATGGTTCCCATTCGTTATTTTTTTCAGTAGCTCCATTATTTGTTTTAAATTAGGTCTCTGAAGCAGAGAAGAGAGTAAAGGTTGCATTTTATGAAAACGCAACAGACAGTTGTTTTTCTTATCAGAAGACGGTACTTTCAATATTGAACAAAAATGTTGGTTCATATGTCAGCGAAGTAGAGGAGGAAGGGTATAACAATAAAACATACATTAAGC